AAAAAAATACAAGCCTATTCTTGATGTCAGTTAATACTGGGACTTACAAAATGACACAAAACATTATACCATTGGAAATATTAAAGATCTTTGAAGAATGGAGCCAGAAATTAATAACTACAATATCAACAGTGTCAGTAATGATGTCTGTTTCTATGGATAGACTGTATCCAAAAGATGTTAATGAAGGAATGAGAGATGTGGAACAAATTTTATCAGACAAGACAGAGACAGTACCAAAAGTGGAACTACAAATGACAGGCCAAGAGAATGATTTGGAAAAGAACACTTTACTGGATCTATAAAAGAAATTGGCTGAAGTTTTAAAAATTAAAAGGGAAATACAAATGATAAACCAAAAGAATAACCAGGAAAATGTTTTGTTACTGGATCTACAAAAGAGGCTTGTTAAAGCCTTGAAAACATCTGTGTGATGGGATAAAGAAGAATTGAAGAGAAATCAAATCCTATGACAATATATGAATGAACTAAAGATTAAAACTGTTAGAAGTAAAAGGAAGGAATATAAAGTTGGCTTATTTGAGCGAGGTTAAAATAAGACTTTTTTTTTTTTTTGCAAAGTTCTGGCAACCCTTTATGGATTTTTTGCTGACAGCAGGATTGATGTTTTATGGATTTGCTTGTAGATAAGAGACACATATGGGATGAAGAAAATGTTGGAAGTCACTTCTTTATATATTTCTTTTCTTTTTCTTCTTTCTTTCTTTTTCTTTTTTTCCTGCATTTTTTATTTTTTTTTCTCTTCTCTTTCTCTAAGTTTAGTTTGTATTAGTTTTTACTACTGTAATAAACATTCTTAATAAAAATTATATTAAAAAAAGAGATCAAGGTTTCTTATGCTACATTGTGTTAACATGAACATTGGGCTGAAAAATAATTCCCGTTTGTTTGTTGACCCATTTGCCTATGAACTAGGCAACATTTAATAAGAATGATTCTTTTATTTAGAGCCCTGCCTTCTTTCAAAAAAGAATTCCCTATACGTTACAGATCCCCACTTCTCCCTTTGTCTTAAAAAATCGTCATATGACAGCTTTGTCTTTACTTCATCATACTGCAATACTTTTCTGGCAGCCAAATTCATCTTGAAATTCTTTTATTGATTGTGAAAAATGCCCTCCCCCCCCAAAAAAAAAACTCCTAGGGCTTTTTTTGCAGTGAGTAAAGTTTTTTTTCTAAACACCAAGGCCACCAATTTAGTCTGTCTATAGTTAACAAAGATGTCTGTGTCACATCTAAAATGTTTGGTAATGATCACTACCTATAGGCAATTTTCACTGACATCTTTTCTGGGGCCATTCTCCCTTCTCTCCCCTGTTCAACAGTAATTACAGTACACCTTTCTCAGGACAGGAGAACATATGCATCTGTTAAAATGGTATGGAAAAACACATGAGATAATAAATTAATGCATCTTTAAGGTGCCATAAATCTCTGCTCTTTTTACTGTTGTGTTAGAATTAAATGTTTTCATTCTCTGATTATTCATGGAAATATATGCAGTTGGGCAGTCAGACCAGCAGGTGCCTCTTCTCTGTTGTGATGACTAAGCCCATTCCATGTAGTTCAATATAAGACTTATAGTTTTAGACTGGGAGACCCAGCTTTAAAGACCCATTCAAACATGGAGCTCACTAGGTGACTTTTTCTCTTTCTCAGCCCAACCTTACTTAAGGTGTTGTTATTGTAGGGATAAAGAGAAAGGACCCTTATGTACACTTCTTTGAACTCCCAAAGAAAAGTAATATATAAATACAATAAATAGATCTATGGTCCATTCTGAAAATTAAACCCACTAATTCCAAAACATCACATTATAATACAACAGTGTTTTAATTTCCCTTGTTCTTTCTTATGACTGTGTTGTGGTGTTTCTGAACTTTCTCCTGTTGGCAGCTGTCTATCATTTGATTACTCAAATGGGGAAAAAGAGGAAGATACAAAGTGAGAAAAGTAGACTATCAGGAGGTGTGTTAGATGTTATATGGAAATAACATCTGTGTTAGATGTTATATTACGTGGAAAATCAGATGTTGTGGAGAGGAAGGACTTGTCACATGAGCTGTTCACACATCATGTTAAGCTGTGGTTTTTGTAGCCATGAACATTTAACAATTTCTGATAGGCTGTATTCCTTAGACCATAAATCACAGTTTACAAACCACAGTGACTGGCTTCATACAACACACTAGGCCAATAACTCTACAACGGCCCTGTGCAAGATGCAGCTCTGTATCCAGAGATGAAGTTTGAGGTCTGTGATGCTCCCTCGGGTGTTCAGAATGTAGATGCTTATTTATGGAGCCCTGGCAATTTGATTTTGCAAATCTTCATACAGCCAGCTTTAGCCTTGCTTGAGGAGGCTGGAGGAAGGAGAATGGCCTTTTCCTTTCTTTTTGCTGTTGGGGTTCCAGCTTAACTTTCAGGGTAGGCAGCAAGGCTGTCTTTAGGAGGAGGATGACCATGTCCCGTAATCAAAGTGTCGCCTTTGTTTAACATGCAGCAGACATAAAAGAGGGCAGGGCTTTGATTGATTCCTCATGGGCCCTTCTTGACATCTGACAGACAGAATTGCTGCTGCTAATATATTGCCATCTGCTGATGCATGTGACACTTGAGAAGCAAGGATCTCAAAATCTCGGCTGGGTGCTGTTCTCATTTGTGCATTTTTCCAGGTCATCAGTTCTGTGACAAGTGGGCCCTTCTCACAGATCCAGCTGACATTAGGACAGGCGTCAAGGGATACCTGAAATGTGACATCAGCGTTGCAGGGAAAGGAGACACGATACAAGCGGCTCAGAAAGGAAGTGATGCAGAAGAGCAGATAGAGAAGTATGGCATAACTTCACTTTTTCTCTGGCTGGCACTCACGATCCATGTAGGGAAGGCAGCTGCCATGCAAAATAATAGAAATCCTGCAGGAATAACATGGGTCCTTAGTACTCTCTGAGCTTGGTGGTTTGCTTGCAGACATTTCATTACCTGGCTAGGTAACTTCATCAGGGCGAGGGAGTGTGGAGTTTGCTCCCTATTTATATACGGTAGCTTGCCCTGCCAGTGTTGGTGTGGGTGTGGTTTTCTCCTTGGTAGTTCCTTGGTTAGGGTACAATAGGGTACAATTAGGGTATCGATTAGGGTACAATACCCTAATCAAGGAACTACCAAGGAGAAAACCACACCCCCATCAACATTGGCAGGGCAAGCTACCGTATATGAAGAGGCAGCAAACTCCACACTCCCTTGCCCTGATGACGTTACCTAGCCAGGTAATGAAACGTCTGCAAGCAAACCACCAAGCTCAGAGAGCACCAAGGACTCCACAGTTCATCCCTAAGCTACAGATATTCTCTTCTTCTAAGAACAAGGGTCTTAGGTGATGCTTGAGAAAATCTATCATAGCTATGCTGGGTTGCTTTCGGGTAAAGGGTATCTGGGGAAACCGTATTCTTAACTGCTGCAGAATTCTCAGGATTTTATGGAGGGAAGCTTTGATAGTTAAATTTGGATAAAATAAATTTGCTAAGGTATGTATTATGCACCTCATTGTCAATCCCATTCTGAGATATTATTGCTTATTCCTGGCTAGATTGGAGCCATGCAGACTGGCATCTTAAAGGCTAAATAGCAAGCATGGGAGAAGGTAGGATGGATCTGCATAGGAAGGGAGAAGGGATTTAAACTCTCGATTTCAAGTCATGGTCATGATTTGAACTGAGGGCCCTCTGTCTGCTTGTTGATTTTATTAATGTCTTTCCACCATTCCTTGTGTGAATGGTGTCTTTAGCATATTGTTTAATATGGATCATTGTCTAAAATGTGTGACAGCAGGTGGCAGTGCCTGGCTGTCCTTGGTGATCTTTTCAAAAGCTGAGCCTAGTTGGATGGGAGGCCACTAGGAAATCTCAGAACTAGAGGTGAGACTGAGAAGTCAAGCAAAAAATCCTGAAGGCATTATCAAAGCACTTCCATATTGCTACCAGGAACACATCTATGTAATTGCCAGCAGCCAAGTCTTTACTCAACCTGGAATACACAAGTTTTTACAAGCAGAGGGCTAGATTTAGTCTTTGGATAACCCTCTGGACAAATAGATACAGTTGTTCCAAGTTCAACATCAAATTAGACTTAGCTTATAAAAAAATAAATTTGAATTTAATTTAGGTTTGAAAGTAATAAATACAATCATTAATAATTTCCCCCTACTGATCCATTCAGAAATGATGGGTGGCAAATTTGGACAGCTTTGGGGCTGCAGCCAAGGGTTCATCAAACTTTGAGTTGCTCTGATGTATGCAACCATTTGTTTGAAATCTCCTTGCTGAGTTTTCTTCAGAGGTTGGCTTATCTGTACCTTTTTTCCCCCCACTTCCCCCACCCTTCCAGAAACCTCTTGATTCCGAAAGGATTTCCGTCAGAAAGACCTTGGGCTAGATTTTACGTGAGAATCTACAGAGCTGAGGGGCTTCCAAAAATGAACTCTAGCATCATGGCCAATGTCACAAAAGCATTCATAGGTGATAGTAAGGACATGGTGGATCCGTTTGTGCTTGTCACATTTGCAGGTCAAATGGTAAGTGGGAGTATACTGGGGTTGCCTCTCCTGGTCAGTTGGTCTTCTACAGCCTTTATTTATTTCTTCTTGTCCCCTGACAGCTAAAAATGCACAAAACTTTAACCTTGCTGTCAAGAATTTTGAGTGAGCAAGGTTACGTTAGCAACATCAGCAATTTATGTCTTTGTGTTACAATGTTTGCATACTGTCACAAAACTTTGGGTGGTGCACAATAAAGGGACAACCACAACATGCTAAAGATTCCCCAGGCCCTTTCAAATATGAATCAATACCAATATTAATCAGTATAATAATCAGTCATACTGTATGATGAATGCCCATTCAAAAAGAGGCTGGATGGTCATCTGTAGAGATGCTCTACTGGATACTGCAGTGAGCATGGGGTTGGATTAGATGACCTTTAAGGCTCCTTCTGATTCTATGAAACAACTGGTCTTCAAGAATTTCTGGAATTATTATTTATTTATTTATTTAT